ATGGTCAATAGAAAGACTTACACTGACTCCAGTGAGGTTGGCTCAGGCCCATGGAATGGCACTGGTGTCTTGGAGAAAAGTGCACTCTGGGAGGGCTAACAGAGTCAGGGGAGGAAGGACGCCCGGTCTTACCAGGTGCAGTAACTTGGGCAGGAGTGCTAGCACGCAGCAAAATAACCAAGTGCCTACTGCCACCCTATGCCAGAGTAGGCTGCCAGCGGGAGTCACCCCTTCTTACCTGATTGTTGGATAGGGCCTAAATGACGTACCAAGGTGGCAGTCTTAGAGGAGGGAGTAGAACCAGCATTTCAGTGACAAGCATGTCGAGCTCTCTGGAAATCGTGTTAGCACCAATATTTTCTATCCGTTTGGTGGTGCGTTTTCCAGCCACGCACTGGGATTCTCGTTGAACATTTCAGTGCTCAGTGGGCCCAATGCACTCCCCTTTCTCCACCCCAGAGCTGAGTTCAGATCTTTTCTGTGTCACTCACAAGCTGATATGAGCCTGGCATCTCACCCTCCCAGCCATCTGTTGACATCACACAAGTTTGGCACAGTTCAGCCCAGCGGATGGCTTCTGATGAGGGGAGAGCCGGGGCTGGGAAATAGCTGGATGCTGTTGGTCAGGACGAGCTGCATTGGCAGAGCAGGGGAGAGGCCCAGGATTGGGATAGCAACGGCTCCTGCTGGTCAGAAGTTAGATGCACTAGCAGAGATGTGTTGGGAAGTTTGCATCTCCTCCTCTTGTCACTCCCAGCAGCTCCTCCTTTTCCTGGGTGCCATACTCACCCTTCTTTCAAAAAGCATTTGATATTGCTCGCACTATCCACCCTGAGAACTAGAAATCTTGGGCCAAATACATCCCTGGTAGCTCAAGTGGCTTTGAGGGAGTCACACCAGTGCCATAGTTAGACCATCAACCCAAGTGAAGTGAAAGGCTCAGTTATTTCCCTGACGACACAAGGCAATATCTGTCACTGAGCTGAATTTCTCTGGGCTCTGCCATCAGTTTATTTCAGTGAAGCCACAATTCAGCATGTTGCATATGAAGGGCTGAATCTTGAAACTAAAGTTTTCCTTTATTTATTTCCACATAACCCCCACCTAAGAAAGCAAAAGGCAGGGGTGCAGGTGTCCCATGGAACCTGAAGTTCCCATAACCCCCTATGCGGTGTATTATTGCTATGCACTCTGTTGTTCTGATTTGTAATCTCCAGGGGGTTCCTATTTGCTTGTGATCCAGTCTTTAGTTTCCAATCTATCTCTACCCCATCTGCCTTGGCTTTTTGTAAGGCTCCAGTCACTGTGATCTCTAACTACTGGGTGCTTCTCTGTTACTGTCTGGCAGCTGCTGTTATGGGTTAGCATTTATATTGTAGTGGTGTGTAAAGGCCTCAGCCAGGCTGGCTGCCATTGTGCTGGATGCTCTACAAACACATAAGAAATGACCATCCCTACTAAAGAGCTTGCCTCACTGGGCAGCTGTAGGCCCTCTGTGGGTGTGGAGATGTGGTGGGTGCTGTTCGTACATGCCGGGAGAACCAGTCCCTGCCCTGAAGAGCTTACAGTCTAAACATGTCGGGCAGGAGGGGAAACGGAGGGACAGGGAGGAGAAGTGACTTAGTCATGGTCACACAGAACGTTAGTAGCAGAACTGCAAACTCAGGTCTCTCAGCTCCCCTGTGGATTTAGGTGGCTCACATTAGACACCCACGTTTAGCTATTTAGGCTTCGAACGTTGACCTCAGCATGGCCATGGTTCACTCGTAGCCTTTGCGTGGGTAGGGGGAACATTTTAAAAAAACTGTAAAAGGCTACATTAGTGATTGAAACCAGTCACATTCAGTCAGCAGCTGTAACGATTTGTAGGAGAGAGGCACGAAGCCCCCATGGTCCTGCATGACTCGACCCAAGCAGCCAGGGCTGGTAGGATAAGTTGTGTGAGGTCTTGTGTGCACAGGGAAGTTAGTGCACAGTGTGTGACCTGAAAGTGCATTAAGCTACTGATCACGCTCTCAGTGCACAGTAAGCGTGTCCACACGGGGAGGTAGTACAGCTAACACCCTGTGTGACCATTCATAGCTACTCTGCACTAACCACGGCAGGCTATTTGCCCATGTTCCCATGCCCTGAGTCAGACTTTAAGTGGCTAATTGAAAAATACAACTAAGAAAAAAATAACCCCACAAATAAAAAAAACTCAAAGAAGGAAATCAAATGCAAAAAAATTCAAGTTACCATAATGGGCGGTGTGTACACACACCACTTTTTCCAGTGGAAAACTTTCACGTTCAAACAGCCTCGTGAACTGGACCGCGCTGCCCACCTATGCCGTTTCCCAGTCCAGTGGCTCGATGACTGGTGTCAGCTGTATGCCATAAAATCTACAGCGCATGCACAACGTGGCTGAGTTAATGTTGCTGTTGCCGCCTTAGCACTGTATTTCCTGACCTTTTATTTTTCAAAGTGTGCATCCTGAATGGTGCTTTATACGGCAGTTGTACACACCGCAGATATATGTGCTCAGCGCACGCCAGCTGGGATGGCGGGGAACGGGGGGGGGAACTGCAGGCATCCACATGCACTCTGCACCAGTGGGAACACTGACACACTACGCCCCTGCCCCCCCCACCCCCCCCCAGCCCCATAGGGGAGGGCATCTTGACACTGAGTTTAGCACTCCACAGAATTGCCTTTGGCTGAAGCTGTGTGGGGAATGACTTAGCACATCCACCACATGCCCTGGTCCTCCCCTGCTGGCCATGTTCCCTGTCTGGGCTGTGCTTACTAGTTTGCCTTGAGCCCCTATTACTGGTGTCCTGTGCTACTGTGTCCCCCCCCGGAAATCGCGGAGGCTGAATAGAGCTGTGCGGGTGTTGGTGTGTGAGCAAGCAGGGGTTGCAAGGTGTCTAGTGTAGAAACGGAGTTTATGAGGGAATCAGACGAGAGGGGAAGCCTTATACTGACAGTGAATTGTGTAACTGCACAGTACAGGAGCTGCAGCGCTGGGGGAGCCCTAGAGAGAGACTTTCCTGGGCAGGCAGGACATGAAAGATGAGCTGAAGCTGCTTTCGCTAGCCAGTGGTGTAAATCCTACAATCAGGGAAATTGCTTCTATTGCTAAAAATTGTGGTGATGCAGTCCATTTATTTTTCATTTTTCTTGTGCTCTCGCGACCCCCCTGGCATGAATCACTGTCTGCATGTCGATTAAATTTACACCAGACATTATCTTTCATGGCTCAAGTGCACGTATGTAAACTGTGCTTTTGGCCACTGCCATTCCGCAGCTCAGTGGTTTGCCCGTTGTTTGCGGCCCGGACTGCACTTACCCGCAGGAAATCAGTCCTTTGCTAGGAAAATGCTCTGCATCGCATCATTTGTGATGTTCCTGTGAGCCTCACCATGGGAATGAGCTCACGCTCTGGTAACACCTAGTGCTCCAGAGCAGAAAGAAGGGGAGGAATGAGCCACCCCATCAAGAGCCAGTCATTGGATTGAGTCACCTTTTTCACCCCCTTCAGGAAACATTTTGGTTTCTCCACTGGTTACTTTCATTTGATTTTTAAAAATGGTATCATAGCTATGTGCACCTGAGGCAATGCTGTCTCATGGGTAGGGCCCTGGCCGAGGCATCTGGAGACTTGGCTACTAACCTGCTGTGCGACCATAAGACAAGTCACTGTTCTGTGCCTCAGTTTCCCCTCCTGCCCTTTGTCAGTGTTGTCTATTTAGATTTCAAGGTCTTTGGGGCATGGACTGTCTCTTGCTCTGTGTATGTACAGCACCTGGCACACCAGGCCCTGGTCTCATTTGGGGCAGCTGTAAGTGCTATTGCAGTACTAATATATAATACATGTGACAGTAAACAAGATCAAGTTCAACCCTGCTATTAAAGAAGCCATTGGGCTGTCCTCCTGCTCATGGCGGTTGTCTCAGAAGCTATAGTGCTACAACTGCAGAGTTGGCTAGTTTTGTAGTTAGATCTGACCTCAGAGGGCCTGGTTCCCATCGCACTTATTGTTGTATCAACTGGGCGTAACTCCAGGGAAGTCGGTTGTGCCGGTGTCAGACTGGTACGTGAGGTCAGAATCAAGCCCAGGGTATTTAATGACAGATGTTGTGAAGCCTACAACAGATGTGGTGTTTTTAAACATGGGTAACAAGCTGGATTTAAACAATAGTCTGTATCCATATGCCCAGTCCAACCTAGACAGCCTCCCCCCACTCAGGCACCCCAGCACATGTAGTCAAATGCACGTGGAGCTGTACACATACAGACCTTTAGAGACCCCCCACCCCACACAGACACATTCAGCTGCACCAGCCCAGGCAGCCACAAACCCACTTTCACACAACGGGACTCGCTCTCAGACCCAGCTGCCCACGTGCAAGCTGTCAGTTGCACACTGAGGCACACACTTGCTCTGGTGCACGCTCACAGTGATACTCTCAGGCACACCCACACTGGCACAGATCCTCTCGCTCAGATGCACACATGTGCAGACACTCCCCGCAGGGCACAGTCACTGGCCCAGACACACTCACGCGGCCTGAGGCACACGTTTGTGCAGCAGATGCGCTCTGCCAGGTGTCATTGCAGTGTAACAGCCCTATCATGCTGAATTAATCTGGGATTCATCATGCTAGCCGTGCCCGTAATGAATTTATTTGGTATTAATGTGGATGAAATATGTACTGTCCTTGCAGGGGAAATCGCACTGCCTATAAGCATTAGTTAAAAGGACCATTAAAATCAAACCTTCCTCAGATCCATTAGGCCAGCCTTTCATGCTAAAGAAGATAGAGCCTTGCTGTGTGAAATGTCATGCATAATTAGGTTGATTGCAGTTTTCAACTCTGCCCCTTCTTTCCCACCCCCTTCCCAGTCCCCCTCCAGTGAGCACTCCCCTGCTGCTGAGATCTCACCCTAGCTAGTTGGTGCATTATTCCTCACTGTTGCTCCATCCGTGTCAGAGCTGCCACTTGGTCTCCTTTCAGGCGTTTTGGTACGAAATGCACGGCCTGTCAGCAAGGAATCCCCCCCACCCAGGTGGTCCGGAAAGCCCAGGACTTTGTCTATCACCTGCACTGCTTTGCCTGTATCATCTGCAACCGCCAGCTGGCCACAGGTGATGAGTTCTACCTCATGGAAGATGGGCGCCTGGTGTGCAAGGAGGACTATGAGACAGCCAAGCAGAATGGTAGGTGCTGAGCTCGCCGCGGAGAAGGGAAGGGGTCACGCCTAACAGGTGACACTGGGTGTTCTACAACTGCAGGGTGGTCTGAGCTGGGATTATGATTCAGCTGATTTTAGAGACTGGGGACATTTGCCAAATTCAGGGTCACATGGGGGTGTGTTTGGATGAAGATTTTGACAGTTGGTTTGTCTACGATGTTTAGGATTTTAAGAGGCCCCACTAGGGTCTGTTATTGAGTTAAGGAACTGTGAAATGTGGATCCAGATTCTGAACTGTATCCAGCTACCAATGCCATGGGGATGTTTGGTTCTGGGGCTGAACTTCAGGCTCTCATCTGGTTTAACTGTGAAATAATTATGCTGATTCCCTGGTTCAGCAATGCACTCAAGCATGGGCCTAACTTTAAGACACGAAGAGTCAACTTTGACATCAGTTGGGCCACTCACATGCGTAAAGCTATACATGTACCTAAGCGCTGTACAGCTAAATCAGGGCTCTGAGCCGCTTTGTCCTTGTATTCCTCTCCCTTCCATTTTTTTGTTAGTGGAAACATTTGCAGGTAAACATGTTCTGTGTAGCTTTAAGTTCCTGCTGTCTGTTGCCCACCTGAAATCCTAATCCTGCTGTGGCAATGACAGGCAGGTCAAAAGGGTTATAAACTCCGGTGCAGAACGGACAGCTGTTGCAGCTTGACTCTTACAAAATAAAGATCCTGTTTGCATGGGCATACACACAGAGCCAGATTTTTAAAGGTTTTTAGGTGCTTAGAGATGCTGATCAGTATCTATTATGGAAAGCATCATGCCACCTTGAGCTGCAGTCTGGTTGCATCTAAGCAGGGCTAGGCCTGATGAGTATTTTGAGAGGAGGGAAAATCCAAGTCTTGTAGCAAGTGGTGGTGGCGATGGGTGAGGAGCTGATACAACTTCCTCTGGTTTGTTAAATAGAACCAACCCCCAGCCCAGTGTTAGGAGGCACTGTGCTGCTGGAGGTGCTGTCTGTTGGATAAGATGCATGCGGGGTCTTCACTATGTCGGGCCATTAAAGATGCAATGAGACTTTTGCAAGAATAAAGGGTATTAGCGCAGGGGTCCTGCCAAAACTCCAACATGAGGTAATCTCATCTCACCTTAAATTCTCCTTCTTGTTTCGGTTGGCTAGGGAATATGGGTTCGTTTCCTGCCCCCAAGACACTTCTCTCTTGTACATTGCTAAACAGTGCTGCATTTCTTCATTGCTTGGTGAAGTGACTCTTTCTATACAAGGAGGTTGCCTGGGTGTAGCCCTGGGGAGAATTGCCCCTTTGTTTGTAAAGCATGTTGAGGTCCTTTGGAAGGAACGGCACTGTCATCAATGTTAGTAAAATAAGATAATCATTAAATAAGACCCCAAATTTCCCTCCCCCTAGAAGCAAGTGACCTCTCAAGGGCACAGCTGCGGTATGTTGTTAGAACAATGTGGAGAAGCTGAACATTGAGAGGACAGTCCTAGGTTTGAGCTGCAGGGACGGTGTCGACAACACGGGCCAAATTTAGCTGGGCTGTAGGCAGGCGCAGCTCCACACAAGGCAACAGACTTGCACCTTACACTAGAGCTGAATTTGGCTCAAGGTTCCCGTTTATCCCTGTGAACCAAACGGGGCTCTAAAGAGCCAGTGGAGGTGAAAAACAAGGCTGCGGGAGGGAGGGTGAGAGAGAGACTATAGATCACAAAACAGTAATGAATCCACAGAGACGTCCCAACGGTGCCTGACTGAAATTAAAACTGAACTGGTCTTTAATGGATTTCATGTTGACAAGCCCTGACTTCTCATTAATTAAGGATTCTATTTTGACCTAATCAATTTGGTTAGGGTGATGCAATGCCTACTTGTGCTGGGCAGGGGGGCATGAATGTAATATTACTCAGAGTCCATTACTGACTCCCCGAGCTAGCGATGGCCTCAGTGTCATGGCGTTTGACAGCCTGATAGCCAGTAGAAAAGAGAGAGAGAGGCACTAAGTTTCCTGTCCAAGACACAGGTGCCACTGTGCTGATTTCAATGGGATTTCACCTGCAAATCTGAGAGGAGGACTTGGCTTGTGTGGGTGGAGCCAGAGCTGTACATGGTTCTGTAAATAAAGGACACTTTAGGCAAGAGCCTTGTTCTTGCATCCGCACTGGCTGAGACACATACTGCTGACATATAGCTTTATGGTCAAAACCAAACATGGCCCCTCCCAGCTTGCAATATTATTTTTGAAGGCCTCCGTGGCATTCGTCTGGAAAAACAGGTCACTGTAGTCTACCAGCTAGAACCTGTTTGAGGCACTAAGGGGTAACCAGTCAGCTAGGAAAATGTCATTGCGACCATGTTAGACATACATCTGGTGGGCATCACCGGGGCAGACCGAGATGCTGGAAGTGGTGCAGTTTTTCTGTCACATAATGTTTAAATGTTATCGGGCATCCAATCCAAACAAATCAGAAAATCACCAAAAGGGCCCTAGCTCGTAGAAATATAGTTTAATTTTGATCAAAATTGACAGAAAGTCTCTAAATACAACTGATCATGCATCGATGCACTCAAACAAGAACTGTTAGGGAAAGTTCGGGAAATATTTCGCCCCAGCTGATATATTTTATACTTTTTCCTGTACCTTTTTGCCTTCGGTTAAAGCAAAAGTCTGTAGTCACAGGACAGTATGAGCTTGTTTATACCATGTAATACATCAAAATATTTGTCATTATGTGTAGCATGTACTGATTTGAGAACAGGTTTTTTGTCTGCTATTTTTATGAAGCTATGCAGATAAGAAGACCTCTACCCTAATTATAAAACACATTTTTTGATGTTCTCTGTTTGGTTAGAGACATAAGTCTAACACACACATGGAATAACTGTAATTATCTTCTTACTATCACAGAATACAGTGACAATACATGTAAACTTCTTTTAGAACAGTAATGACTTAGCAGGACTCTTGAATGTCTTGTATATTATGTGAATACCAATGTATAACCATGTATTCTTATGTGACCCCCTACGTATAACTATGACCTATGGAATGTCCAGTGCAACACCCCTTTGAGTTACCTTTACTCACAAAAATAGTCACAGTGATTTGTGCATAGTTTACCCATTTCTATTCCCTCTCAGAATCCGTGTCTGATGTGTCCAATACTCTGTTGCTGGACTTGTCACTGTCACAGTTGCATGCAACAGAGCACACCAGCTCTTCCCAGTGGCATTTGTATCACCTTGTTGCACAAGTACTTCCACAACTACATGGCACAAAAGTGAGTCTGGCTTCTGGAACAGACAGCAGCAGCATCATTTGAGAAACAAGGTGTCTGTACTACTACCCATCCAGTGTTGGCAGGGGACACTTGAAGATACTGAACTGTTGCATGATTCCCTATGTGTGACTGATAATTTGCACATTTCAGGTGCAGCCTGAAGGAGGCCAGTGTTGATGGCACTTTTGTTCTTCGTAACAAACAGTGTGTAGCACACATTCTCTGGAGATGCTTGCTGGTTGTGCCACAGTACAATAAAGAGACCGGTGAGCCATAGGCTGCTGAATCGGAAAAAGCTGCAGTTATCTGCCTTCAAATCTTGTTAGCGATACTGAGCAAGGCCAACTTGATTCAGCTACTGCTGGGTTCTTCATTAACACTGGGGTTAGGTCGGGTCTGTCCATGCCATGAATTCAAAGTAATGGTCCTAATTTATAATGCCATTTATAGGGCAGAGATGTAGCTGTCTTCTAGACTGTCATATCATTGTGAGTGTTTCTGCTCTTTGCCCTCTACACTGCTCACACTGTAGGTAATGGGTGCAAGCTTATAAAGGACGGACACACCAAACCTGAGATTTCACACCTGTTCTTAAGCTGGGAAGAAACCTCTTTTCTTTTGCACAAAGCTGGGGTGGGGGAACATGAGCAGTAGCCCCACAGAATGTGTCTGAGTTGCCTTCCTCTGATCTGACCAATACAAAACCCAACACTTTCAGCATTATTAGACTCAAAGTGGTGCTGCTGTGAGCCAGACCTAGAATGCCACCAGGCGCAAGACACACACCCCGGCTGCAGTAGCACGTCTATTTAAGGTGCTCTAACAGCCGGTCAGGTTGACTTGGATGTTTGTAGGCTCCTAGAAGGCCTTGGGTACCAATACTGGGGGTTATGGACAAGTTGCCCTGAGGTACAGCTCCCTTCCTTTCCTGGCCAATGACCTGTGTTTAATTTTAAAGTGCTCCAAAATGCAAATGCAGTGCCAGGTTGGCTTGAGCACTGATATGCCAGTTGAAGCCCTAGAATAGGGTACAGTTTCGGGGGGTTTCTGGTGAACGGTGCCTGCCTGATCTGTTTTTGTCAATGGGGCAAACTGTGGACCTCCAGCAGTGTTGAAGCTGGTGGTGCAGACAGCGCTGATGCAGCAGTGCAGTGCTGAGCGGGGGCGTGAACTGAGACTGTGTCAGAATTCAGGGGCGTTAAGGAGGGGCACACGCAGGCAAGACCATTGGCACTAGAGCCGCAATAAGCCCCTAGTTTTAGCATCATTGCGATCCACAACACCCCCCCCCCCCATTCCCCCGCCTTCGGCTGCCACCCAACCCTAAGTTTTTGCTCTGAAAGTTCCCTCAGTGCCTGTTTCCGCTTCTTTGCCTGGGTCTTACTGCCTCATGCCTGAGCCCTAGCAAGCAAGTCAAACCAGAGCTGGCAGAGCTGGTCAGAGGCCTCCTAACCACACTCCTGTATAATGTTTAGTTCCATGGTTAGGGTACAGGAGAGCCTGGCCCACGGGCCCTCGAAGGGAAGGGTTTGAACAGGGCGTGTCCCGAGAGGGGGCGCAGCTCTCCCCCATAACTGTTAGCCCAATAGTTAGGGTACTCACAGCGGGGTGGGGGAGCACTGACTCTGGTTCAGTCCCTCTGACCCTCTGCCTGCTGACAAGGGATTTGACTAGGCATCTGCCAGCTCTCAAGTGAGTGCCCCAATCACTGAAGCAGAGGCTGT